CACCTCCTCAGCTTGGCTGGCAAATCAAAGGCACAGCACACAGTTTCACATGGACATCCTCCATAGCTGCCATCACTCTGTTGCCCACAGTAAACAAGCTGTGGGCAACAGAGCCCAGCCAGCCCATTTGTGAAATTACATGCGGAGCATAAGCATTGTAAAGCATTATACAAAGATGGCTAAGTGGATAAATAGACCCCCTATGTGTTGTGGTAATGCACATCTGCTAACTCAACCCAGTAATACAGTTGCAATACATGCACATTTGCCAATGTGTTTTCCCTTTAAGCATGCTGAAAATGCAGAAAAAAATCTAGAAATGTTTGTTATTGTTAGTGGAGTGGATATGTATGTGGTCTGATATCCCTGGTCACAACAGGTGGCTACATGGTCTGGTATGATCCCTGGTCACAAGAGGCAGGTCAATCTGGCCCCGGCAATATCACTATAATCTTTGATCTTAGTGTCCAGTATTTTCACCAATTATCACCAGTTTAAGCACTTAGGAAGCGGGATTGGAGATCCCAAAAACATATTGGTGGTTATTATTTGCCTCATTGTCAAGTTTAATAAATATGAACTGGATTAATAATTTACGTGTGGCACTCTGCATTGCCACAGCACACTCGTTTAAAAATTAAATGTATTTCCACTTTTGCAGTCAAATATGAGAAACCACACTATGTATGGTTGTTATGTGCTTCACAGCATACTGAAAAATAATACAAAAAGTATTTCTTACATTTTAGATGTTTTGTTGCAGCAGGCAACATGGCAGATTCAAGGTTTTTCTGAGCACCTTCACAGTGATCTGTCTTCATAGAAAAACAGCACTACAATTTGAAGATTGTGTTTCTCTCATTAACTTCATTAACATTTAGATGCAGAAGCAGGGTTGTAATCCTTTAATCCCTCACCTTTCACAGCCTCTCCAAAAATTACAAAGGAGGAGAAGCAAGCAGACATTTTAACCCATAAGAAGCCAAGAAACCCTAACCTAAGTAAAAGCAATTTAAACTGCAAGGAACTTTTTAATTTTTTTTAAACTTATGCTATGTGAATGGGTGTATGTAACAAATATAACATAGGTATTGTCCCAATTTGGTTGCAAAAGTGGAAATACACTTTAAAGTTTTTATTTTTTGCACTAATCAAACACAAAGAAAATGAGAATCTAATTATTTGAATTTCTTTGTAATGTCAAACAATTGTAGCTGCCAATTTTCTCTGATGTTAAAATATAACAGAATATTATTTTTATTACATTACATGTGTATTTTATGACTGTATTAATTAAGAAAGCAATACACATTAATACAATTTTATTGGTAATGTTAAAGAGGAAAAACAACAAAAACGTAATGTACAACAACAAACCCTGCACAAAGTCTAGAAGACCAATTTGGGTAATAATGCACATTTTACAGGGAGTGTCTATAAAATAGAAACTTTGGGATGGTTTAGTATCCTGTCTTTTGTGTATCAAAATGAAATGTTTGGTAGATGATGGTGAGATCATACTTGTCTTTGCCCCTTACACTGGCTTGATTGATATCTTTGCCTGACCATAGTGATGCCAGCTTACTTAAGTCTGAAATGAAGTGCAATACAGTGACAAATTTGCAACCATTTCAAACTCCCAATCATGGGCAAAGAAGTGTCTATATTTTTCACATTTCTCCAAGTTTTATTTGTTTAAAGCAGAACTCTGGGAAAAAAGTTGCCCTTAATGTGGGGCTCCCCTCACACTGCAAGGTTTATAAGCTGTTTCTGTATAGTGGAACAGAGAAAGCAGTTTTGCCTACCAAATTTCTCACTCCAACAGACTCTTCCTAGCTGTACAACCAGTCCCCTAAAGTTGCTTCTCTTTACTGCAGTGGTTGCAGGCACTCTGGTGTTTTAACATACAATGCAGGACCATTGGTCCCGCATTCCAAGTGATGATGCCAAGAGCACGGCCACAACCTGAAGCATCAGAGAGAGAATGAGTGCCAGTTGCCATGGAAGCAAGAGATAAGGTAAGGAAAACTGCTTTTTCTGTTTCTCATAGACAAAAATGAGCATTGCAGTGTGGGTGGAGTCCCACTGCAAGGGTAACATTTTATTATACCTGGATTTCAGCTTTAACTACACTTCACTGCACTCAACTTCACAATTTAGTAAATCAGGCCCCTAGAGTTCAACTAATTGGTGAGTTGATGTCTTCAAGGATGTAGCTAATTGGTGAAATGCAGGAAAGGATATATATTTAAAGACTGTGTAATTGCTGGGAGTTTGGGTTTTTCTAGTAGTCTTTCGTGTTACAGACTGTTATGTGGTATAAGACTCTAGAGATGAGTGAGCCGGGCAAACTTTGGTTCAAAAAAGTTTCAGCGAGCTCTGCGGGAAGTGTGTAAATCCTGAACCCTATTTTTAAGGCTAATTTGCAACCGGGACATTGGTAGCTGGGCACTGCCATTGGGGCATGTACCATTGCAAAATGTTTTTTTTAATAAACATTTAGCACTGAGGTTTTCTTTTCATGGGTCTTAAAGGGCAACAATGAAAAAGTGACATTTTAAAAAAATGGGGAAATTGATGTAAACATATTTTTATGTAAAATAAAAACTTGTATAACTTAAAATGATTGTACCTGAAACAGTTATGAGTTTTAGGTGGTGTTAGGTTTCAGTGTTTGAAACATGATGTTGTGTTAGACCTTTTTTTACAGTCAAAATGTCATTTTTATTGTTTTCTTTTGGCTCTAGAACATTTAATAAATGTGATGCTGGCATAGTAGAATTATTCATGACTTAGCTGCATAGTATTACCACCACAAAGCAGGAACTGGTGTGATTGTTCCTGTACAAGTACTGTCATAGTGTTAGAATAGTATGATCCACAGTAAATCTGTGTGCACAAGCATTTGCTGTAAAGAGCCCGTTACAGAAAATAATAACATTGCCATTACCTTTTACTGAACAGATCCATGTGTGCTTAGCATGTAACCAATCCAAGTCCCGGCAATGCAGTGTACAAAAAGAGGAAACCTATGCTAAGAGACATGTGTGGACTGTCATTGCTACACATTGTCCTTCAAATTGCCTGGCTGCCAGTATTTTCTTCATCACTGATATGAATCATGTACAGCATACAAATCAGCAGAACTGAATTGAAACCGACTTCACTTTCTGAATGTTTGTTCTGGGTTAATGACTTATTGAGCCCAGTGACAGCCAGGCAGATACAATTTTCAAGTTAGTAATTAGAGTTTATACACTTTTGTCAGTACAGGTTTCCTCTCACCCATATGCTCTCACCCATACCATTAGTGATTTGTGTCATTACATTTGACCTTTTTAGAATGTGGCACATAAGTATTGAACACCTCACATCTTTTGGCCACATTGAAAACTTGCTGCTGGTCTCCTCTCATAAAGCTGTGTCTGGTGAATTATGTATTACTCATGATGCTTCTTTCTTCATGTGCATTTTTACCTAAAATCTGTACCAGAGAAAGTGGCAATATAACTGCTAAGACAACTAAAGCTGGCCATACACCTTACAATTATCTGCAGATTTTCTGTGGTCAGATGGAAAAAGTGCAACAGATTGGCCCAGGTGGAGATTACTCCATAAACACAGTTAAGTGTAGATGGAGGAATCTGTTGCACCTTTTCCACCTGACCACAGAAAATCTGCAGATAATTGTAGGGAGTATGGACCGCTTAAGATGATGGTGGAAGCAATGTGCCACTGGGAGTCTGAAGTTTGGAGGATTGTACTTAAAAAGAGAGGGAATACCTATCATGCTAAACTGTGCTTAGCAATAAATACTTGAATCTATCAACCTTATTGGTGATTTTGCTATCACAAGCTCTATATAATACATATATACAATATGTTATTATCATAAACGCCCATAGCATAACATTTTCATATCCATCAGTACAATCCCTTGTTTTGAGCATTATATAAAAACAACAATTACCAGAAATGGAAATGGTAAATGTTGGCTGAATACGGTCATTCCATTTAGCAAAAGAAGGATGGGCATATTTAATATGGGATAACCATAGGCAGACCTGTATTCATAATGCCTTTCCCTCTAGGCACAGTGTCTTGTTAATCCCCACTTCTTCACCAGTCTACTGACTAGCTTTTCCATCAAACTAACAAGATCAGATAAGATAGCCAGAAAAGGAATAGCTGGGGTAGAGAGGCTGAAAAGACACTTTTCACACTCTGTTTTACCACTGTACGTACATATAAGTACACAATGCACTATAATGTCAAAAATGTGCAAACTCTAGAGGGATATTACAATAAGGACAAGGCTGTATGGCAGTGGTCAAATGGATAGAATTCTGGAACAGTTAAGTATACATAGAATGTGTTACTGACAGTCAGCTTGATTTGTGGGTGCCTATGTGCTGCCCCTGGCAGTTAAACTGCCCTAGGCCATGACCTATGTTGGCTATTCTAAATTCTGGCCCTGACTGGATCACCCAAATAGTATTATTATTATTATTATTATTATGTGTCCTGTTAATCATTATTTTATTTTTGTTTCTATGAATATAGTTAATATATTTAGAACTAATGATACGGTTATAAAGGAAGGAAAGTAAACTATGACATATTTTCATCTTCATCTGAATACTTCCTGCAATGTCAATCATTTTAATGTGGTCAGAGTCCTACTGAGCTTATGACATATGCTGCCATATGGTGGATGAGATATGCTTGGTCCATTTTTTTTTCAGTGTTTTGGCTCATTTAGAAGGGGAGCAAAGAACAAAAATACACAGTCACCTATGGCAAGCAAGTAAACACATTTCATCTTTAGCAATATAGGCTAGCAAGATTGATGGTTTGTTCATACACATTGCATATACATATTCAAGACTGGTGCACTGCCTGTTGTATAGTCCTGTAAAATATGTTGGGTGGCATAAAAATAAAAGATGTTGATAATAAAATCTTTACTACATATGATTATCATTATTGTGTTTCTGCAGAAGGCAAAATTAGGAAACGAAACACTCTGCATGACTACACCAAAACGTCAGACACCACTTTAGCTAGGATTAACAAGGCACTTGAGGTGAAAACAAAATATTTCAACACGACAGAGAACTGTGCCAAAAGATGCAGTCGTAACAAAGGACTTTCATTTACTTGCAAGTAAGTAGCCAGATAGACAGTGTGAATGGCAATATATAGTTACTCAACCTGACTTGTATGAGGAAGACATGCTTTTAGTGGCTCTGTGTGGGAGAAGCCAGTTGGTACTAATGGTTTGAGTTGCTGCCTTCATCTGCTAGACAGATGTAAAAGTTGGCTTGGTATGCCATGTAGCTAAATACAAAAGCATTTATATTGTCTCTGGTAAATGTGAAACTAGTTGTTGTTTTCAGCAACAGCTAATTAGTAATTCATAAATAATATATGAACAGAGCAATATTACAGCTTCAGGGAGCCCTCTTAAAACTCATTTTTATACATACACTTTTTATTCATGCATGTATTGCTCTTAATAATCTTTGGAAAAAGGATTTGTACATCAAACGTTTTAAGCGTGGCATATAACATTTACCCATCTCAAAATCCTTCTAGGTCTAAACCATTCTTCAGATGTTGTTTTCCTGAGATGTTGTACCATGTTATATTTTAAAGGGCAATTAGATCCCTAGTTAGAAGTGCATTCAGCAAACCGCTGCAATTGTTTCATGAGGTTACTTAAGCAGCTGCAAAGACAAGGCAAAGAAGATTATATTTACTTCTTTTGTAAATATGACATCTATTTTATGTTTTACTGGTAAAATGGTTCTTCATAAGTAGCTATATACATAATCACATAATTTAGTTCATTTATATATGAAAAATAGTTATCCATAAATGACAGTTAATGAAAACACACATTTGATACAATTTCCACATCAAGGTTATTTTACTTACAGAAAACGAAATAATTAACAAAGGGATCCTGTGCGTTTTCAACCAGAAGCATAACTCTAAATAGGTTTAGAAACAAAATACATTTACCAGCACACTAGACTATCTCAAAAATCCAGAAAGGATACTCTTAATGTCTGCTGCTCTGTAAAGTTTATAATTAATTTTGTGCTATCTGATTATTGCACACAGACAGCACAGACTATCCAGCATGCTGGAAGGTTTCTCAACAACAGAAGTTAAATATTTCTGTATATTTCTATTTTCTGTAACCAACTCCCATATATTAGTTAATTACTGCAGGCATCTTATGAATCTTTGACACCTTTAGCACATTGGGGGGAAAAGTGTGCTTGTACTCTTGACATTTTTTATATTTACAGGTGTTTTGCAACTGTATTGCAAGTCCACAAGTCTACACAATTACACAATTGTGTTGGTTTGTCCTTAAACAGTCAGCAGCTTAATGAGTTACTCTACATTCTTTTGCTACTGGTGACCTGTATGGATCTGAATCATAAAAAAGTGAATTGTTGAAATGACATTTAAGAGATATGTATGTTTCATGTTAATAAACATGTTATTCTCTCTAGGGCGTTTGCTTTTGATAAAAGCACAAAGAGATGCCACTGGTTTTCTTTCAATAGCTTGTCACAAGGAGTTAAGAAGAAATTTGATCGTGCATTTGATCTGTATCAAAAGAAAGGTAGCATTATTTTCTTGCTTTCTTCTTTTTACTTGTTCCATGATTACTTGCATTTGAAGGTATAGTCATCATGCCCTTTGCCGAGTTTAGTATTTTAAGTATTTTTATTAATGTGGGAAATCCTCTAACATGTTTAATGAAAAACAAATATTTCTTTTATCTGTTTGATGTTTATTGCATTGTTGTCAAAAGGGCATTTGTTACATAAAACATAGAGCAAAAATGTGTTGCACAATTTACTTTTTTAATGTTCATTGTATTCATTCATTCATTCATTTATTTCTGTGTTCATTCAATACATTATGCATTAGCCACCATTCACACAAGTAACAGTTGGCCCGTACAGATCCGTGCTGCATGCGCAGCTATATCGGGCCACTCCCGGGAAGGACAGGTGTTGCGTGTGATTACACACGGCAGCCTGTTCTTCTCTATGGGAGTATATGGCTGTACGCCGCCCTATGCTCACCCGAACTGCACGTCCGTACAGGTGCGGGTGTCCCTGCTTGGATGCAGACAGAATCCATCACACCCAGCAACTGTCCTTCCCGGGAACGGCCCAATACGGCCGTGCATGCAGCACAGATCTATAGGGGCCGGCTGTTACTCGTGTGAATGTGGGCGTAGCCATATACCATTCCTGCATTTTTTTAACTACACTTATGCCATAGTGAGTAGGTGAGGAAACCAGCAAGCTGGAGGCAGGTTTGATGTACATTTTCACTCACCTACATCTATTTTATGAGGTACTTCAAGTGTACAGGATCCCTGTTCCAGTCACCATCAGGCTGCTGTCCTTAGCAGGGACCCCATTTATCTCTAGGCTGGATCCACTAAAGAGTGCCCTATATGCTAAAGAGCAAAATGTCTAGAACTGACATAGGAGAAGTTCTAGACCCTCAAGGTCTTCTAGCCATAGAAATATCAACTCCTTTGCTTTAAAAGGCTGGCTGGTATTTTTCATAGTACACACAGTTTTAAAACAATTTGTTTTTTAAAGGGCAGATTGGTTAATCAAAACCCAGGGAACTGGAGGAGTGGATTGGATGATGGTAGAACGGATGGTTGTGGATTTATTCATGTATGGGACAGATTGTATTGTTTTAAACTGATCCTAAAATTCAATTATATTAGGTTTTCAAATTAAAATCATGACCGTCAACCTGTTGGTCTTTTGATCCTATTCCTATTGGTACTTTGTAACTACTTGATTGGCTGCAATCCCCTGTTTTTAATTGTGCTGTACTATAGATGTGTCAGTTACAATGTACCTCTATGACTGGTGTTATTGTAGTACAGGTAGCCAAGATAACATAGCATAAGAAGTAGAATTGGTACATATAAAGCACTATGATGGTGTTACGATGTTAAGTTAAGTTTGATTGAATCAAGTAAGAAGAACCATCCTATTAGTGTTATACGTAACATAAACATTATTTTAAATTAAACATCTTAGGTTTCAATTCTGGGGGTCAAGCCCAGAGAGAAAAATCTATATGGAAGGGAATAGGGTGATAAAGTGGGTACAGTGTTATATGAATAGATAGGCTGTCAAAGTTGGGGAATTGGGAAAAGGGGGGGGGATATAAAGTAGAAATAGACTTTCATGGGTCATGTGGGCACTATGTGGGTCGATCAAATCTGTAATTGAGTTGGGATGTTCTTCCTCGCTGCTGCGTCAGCACATCTAGATATGCTTCATTTTTGTTTTGATGTTTAACTGTAGTAGAAGTTTAACTAAGTAGAATGGGATGCAATTAAAAGTGTACTTTTTTTTACACCAGATTATGTAAGAGACTGTATTCATGGAAAAGGTAGTACCTACAAGGGATCAAGAAATGTAACTAAAAGTGGACTACAATGCCAATCGTGGAATTCAATGTATCCACATGAACATAGGTAAGATTATATTATAAATAAAAATAATTTGTACAGAATAGTAAGATCTTAAAATTATGGATAATTTATAGGGAATAAATAATTGGTTACACTTTTTTGACATCTTTATTTGGCAAAGTTACTGGGACCAAAAGGATACCGTATAGTAGTTTTATTTCCTTTCTTTCTTTATTTTGGTTAAGATTAAATAAATAGAAAAGTGTTTTTGGTAAGGTAAATATGCAATATCACAGAATAATATTGTGTAGCCTTCTACTCAGCCTGCAGTGGGAACTCTATTCTAATGTTCACATATTCAGCTTTTAACTGCGGAAAGAAGTCTCTTAATTACAAACACGGAATCACAGCACTGTCTTATCCCTTATCAGTAGGCTCAGTAAGATGTTTAATAAGACAAAGGTAGCTACAAAACAAGGTTCCGTTATGTCATGTCATGTCTCTTAAGCTAAGCCATAGTGCTTTGTAAGTACTGTGTCATGTGATATACCCTGGACTTCCCTCTTACATCCCTATTACTCGCCCTTATCTTTTTGAGATATCTTCAAGCTGGTCACATTATGCACAGGGTTGTCTTTTTCTTTGGATCTTCTACAGTGGTTGGTGAACCTTAATGATGCAGACAGCAGTGCTGATGTGATGGATTCAGCACTGCTCTCTGCATCATTGTATTAAATGCAGAGTGCCGAGGTAATGCCCCATAAGTGGGCAGGTCCATGATGCCTTGCACACACAGGATGTCCTTTGTATTTGGGGGACAAGATAGGGACTATAGGTTTGTACATAAGTTGAATTTGTATGTAAGTCGGAACAGGTACACTCCAGCCAAAAAAAAACATTTTTTAGTTTTGGATAGCATAGAGAAGGGTCATGTTTGTTTTGCTGTCTGTTCCCCTTGTTCAGAAGATTATAATATAATAAAAAAAACTTTAATTAAAAATGACACACCAAAAAAAGTTTTTTTCTTTTTTAATTTTTATTTTATAAACTTTATTTTTTGTATTTGTTTGCATTTTTAATTTTTATTTATTTAACTTTTTTTTTTTAATTGTCTTTTTAATTTTAGTTTTTAATTTTTTTAAACTTTTTAATTTTTTTACTTTAATGCTGGGAGCAATAGCCAGCCTGCTATTGGATATTTAAAATTGCAATAGCAGGCTGGCTATTGCATCTGCCCACTGCCTGCTGTCAATCAGCAGAGGAGGGGCCTGAAGGAAAAAGTAAGGAAACAGTTCTCCATCAGGTCCTCCCATGCAGATGAAGAGGAGGCAGGGGGCGGGGCAGATGAGGAGCGGCTGGACTGGGGTAGAGGAGGTACGGGGGGCAGCGGAGGAATGCAGTGGTATGTGTCCCCCTGCCTCCACCAACACAGGCAGGGAGAGCAGCAGGGATTTGAAGGGACACAGGCCGCTGCAGCCACAGTTCTCCTAAATGTAGTGGCAGCCGCCAGTACATACAGCTATCACTCAGTGTCACCGACTTTACTGCAGTTCATTGTACAAAGTTTTTTTCCAATGAACTGCAGTAAAGTCTGTGACACTGAGTGATAAAGTATGTGTAATCCGCGCTTATGGCTATATAAAGGTGAATAGTTTAAATTAAATTAATAAATAAATCAAATGAAAGATATAAAATATTATGGAGCTGCTGTACTAAGGACACTAGGGTCAAATGATATATAGTTAAATGTGCAGCGCTCAAGGTCCCTAAATAGTGAAACAATTCAGTGTAACAAAATTTAACATGTAAATAGGTAATCTCAAATAGTGCAAACGTGTACAGATCAAACAAATAAAACCTACATTAATTGCTTATCTAATAGTAAGCAATAGTGCCTCCCATATATAGTCTCAAATATATCAGTGAAGGTGATAAATAAATCTCAAAAGTGCAAGAGTGCATAGAATTTAGATAAATAAATTCTAAAAATCAAAAAATGTAACAATAGTGCTCACATGTAGGGATATATATATATAACAGTCCAAGTGATGTCTAAAAAAGTGAATCCAAAAAATATGTGAATCCAAAAAAAATATATATATATATATATAACAAAGTGAGTCCAACAGTAATTAGAACTTCCAGTGAAAGCAGCGTGTTGACAAGGAAACAAATTCCACACCGAGGTGTCCACATCAGAAATTCCCCTTTGGGTGCACACTCACCAGACCAAGATGTTTAAAGGCAGAGAAAGATGAGATGATAATCGATGATCTCCCAGCCGCCTCGTCCTTATCCCATGGATCATAAGTTTATAATTTAAAACGATAAAACCGGCCGCTCACACGATGTGAGTAAAGCTTCTGCACTTCCTGGTTGTGCGTGATATTGCAAAGTATAGCCCCGGGGTATTGCAAAGCTATATTTTTTGGATTCATATATTTTTTGGATTCACTTTTTTATACATCACTTGGACTGTTATATATATATATCCCTACATGTGAGCACTATTGTTTAATGTTTTGATTTTTAGAATTTATTTATCTAAATGCTATGCACTCTTGCACTGAGTGATAGCTGTGGACCTCGGTTCGTAAGTACGGGTTATCCGTAAGTCGGACGTCCGTAAGTCGGGGACTGCCTGTATACTGTATATATATGATTCAATATTTTGATAAAATATGTTTTAAAACAACAGCAAAAAGCAAATTTGCCAAAAAAAATTACATTTACCTTTAAGTATTTAGTTTGGTTTTCCTTCCAGCCTCTGAAATTAATCTGCTTTCATCTCTTACATGTCTGTCTTTGGTGAAAGTTACAAAGTCCGTTCCTTTTGTTAGATAAAATAAAAAATCCTTCACACCTGGAAAAAGTGCTAATTAGAACATGTAGGGAAATGAGCATTCACTGTCCTGGCCATTTTGTTCTTATTGTTTACTTATTGACCAAGAGAGATGGTAGATAAGGAACTAATTGAAACTGCTTGGAGGCTTGCAAATTGTAATTGTTAGGTGGTTACACAGTTCAGAGTTCTCATTAGTCTCACATGAGTGATAAACTGAAAACAACATTTTTCAACCTATTTGTCAGTGCCTCTGCCCTACGGTAATCACCTGCTTGAAGTGAGCTATGACTGACTTGACTGAGCAGAGCACAGATGTAAAGGCATTCCATTTTTTGTGGATAATTCAACATATTCAGGTGTTGATTGGCATATGTTTAGAAGAACAGGAGAGAGACACTTACCTATTAGCAAAAATTATACATGATACAATTTTATTTAACATAATTATGTATTGTTATGTAAGTAGTGTTAATTGATAAGCAGTCATAAAAAATAAGGATTCCAATGTTCCTGGAAGTTGAAAAAAATCCCATTGCCTCAGTCCCATAAATGTTTCAACCATGCTAGAAAATACCTGGCATGCGAATATTTGGATTTGTATGGAAAAACTATTTGAGAGGGAATGTCCATCCCCAAACAAGTGTTCCCCTGCAAAAACAAATATGTTATCTGAAAGAGCCATGATCTTTACTGGTGCTTGGCTATTGTCTACTGAAAAGGAAATTGTTAGTTTTGTTTTTTAGACTGTCCATGAAAGCATGGCAGGACTTCCAGGTGGTCCCTAGATTAATTATGAGCCAACACCTGCCACTGTTGGCAAGGGGTTGCATTTGGGGTGGGTTTGCTGACTAGAAAAAGTGAAAATTAGGGGCATGAGTATATGTGTGAAATCATGCAGCCATCTGCAAAGTCCCCACTTGCTCTCCCTCCTTGTTTTTGTTTACTATTACAGCTTTATTGGAGGATTCAACCTTGTCAGCATTTACATTGTCCCTTGTTTTAAGCCCCCTGAAGGACTTAGTTAGATACCTGTCCAGAACTGATGGTTAGGACAGGTGTTTTAGCTATGTATGCTTGTTGGGTTCTCACAGTTTATCTGCAATGAGAACAACAGTTATTAGTAAATGCAATTGTTTATTTTTTAGACATATTGTTGTAAATCCCCTGTGTTCTAATAAAGCTGGGATGGTGCCTTTTTCAAAACAGACAGCATCTGTGAAGTTATTTGGGCAAGGGCCTAGGTTTAGGAAGCAGGGGTTTAAAACTATATGCCAAAGCAGCTCAGCAGCTATGTGGGGCCTGAGATTGTGAGATTTGTTTTTTATAGAAAAAATCTGTCTATGTATTTCCTGCATGAATTTACAGGAACAAATAAACACTTAATAAAACCTAATTAAATAAGTTATTGCAAAGAACAATTATGATGTGCAAAGAGTGTGGATCCATATCAACTAATCAGGTTTTATATTGTATTAGCATAGATTGGTCAGAACAATGACAGAGGACTTCTCATTGGCCCTTTCCACTTGATTACTTGTTTTATTACATAAACCTATGAATTGTTTGTTGCACACCCTCAGTATATTTGTGCACAAACCTGGATTACTGATTGCTTTGGTCAACCACTGAACACACCGATATCATGGTTGTTTTTCAATGTGATTTAACAAAATTCAACATGGAACCAAAACGTAAGCATATGGGCTTAGAGCTATTGGACAATATTTCAATATTATTGCTTTCACCGAATCCCATACAGTCATAGTTTACAAAGGTCGTCTGACAAATTAAGTATCCAAACATGAGAAAAGAGATGATGATGTCATTAGTACACGCTGATGTGCAAAGCAATTATGGGAAAGAATTAAATATGTGAACATTTGCTGCTTGTTAATGTGTGGGCTGGAATTCACAGAACAACATCATTACAACATCTGCTTTTGAGAAGGTGGTTTACATGTTTATGTAAAGGAATGTCCTCTGTTGAAATTATAATTTGGGGCTATTTTCTGCATTTATTTTACAAGGCTGATTTGTAGTGATGATCTGTTTTATGTAATTTTTGGAAAAAACAGATGCAAAATTTGAGACAGCCCCTTTCTTGTTAGTGACTTATTTCCTGGTGTCATGTGTGTACTCAGTGTGACATTTAAAGAAAGGTCAAACTCATTGTGTATATGAGCTTTTTCACTTTTTGTACAGTGTTCTGTATGTGCAGGAATTGTTTCGAAGCTTCTTTTTAACATATTATGTTAATGACGTTACAACTATGGTATAGTGCAATACTATGTGAAGCTGCCAATATGAAGGGCCAGTGTCCTGGCTTGGACGTCACCTTATTGGACACCTTTTATAGACATCTTAACATGTGAACCACTTCACATCACATGTCAAATAGTCTTTGTTTAGAACAACAACATATGATCTAATAGTGATATAATACATCAATGAATGTATGATGTACAATAAAGCTAGCAGCTTACAGTAAGAACATTTTGTTGAATTCAGTAAATTCCCACATTTATACAGTTGGTGATTTAATCCTACACAACCCATTTCATTGACAAGCAGTAAGATGCACTTCTTATTTAATAACTGTTACTGTTAACTGTTTATTAACTGCAAAAATTGGATAATCTGACCACACAAAAGACAACTCTGTTGCTTAACAGTCTTTGATCTAAAAATGATTGAATAGACTAAGGCAGCCAATGACCGGTTTAGATATTTATATCTAAATGACAGGGATGGTGGTTATTATGTGTTTTTGCAATTAAAGCTGGTTAAATTTTGTGAAATAGATAGAACCTTTCTGTGTGTGGCCAGCATTTGAATTTATCTTAACCTAATGCAATCTGTTCTTTCATTTGCAATCAGTTGTTTACCACAGTTACAAGGTAAATGTTACTTCTGGATTGTTGCTAAGGGTTACTGCACACTGCACTTTGCATTGTATAATTAAGGTCACTATGGGGGTCTATTCACTAAGGTGCCAAAGGATCTAGCCGTAGCTTCGGCCGATCCTTCGGCTAGCTTCGGCCCCAGGACCCCTTTGGTTCAGTAGAACCGAAGGGGTGCTGTACGGGCTATTCACAGCTCCTGAACGTGGCCGAGCAGCTCAGTCGAGCCGAACGCATATGCCTTTGCTCGGCTGAGCCGTGCTGAAAGCTGGGCGGAGCCAGCCGTGATCTTACGGCTGGCTCCGGCCACTTGCAGAGAGATCAGCGTCCCTGGTTACCTGCTAACCAGGGACACTGATCTCCAAACATTAAACTCTCCCTGGCACTCCGGGAGTCTCCTGCTCCCGGTCGCCAAGGAGAGAAACACTGCTGTTTCTTTTTTTTTATTCTGACACGGAGCTGTGTCAGAATAGAAAAAAATAATAATTTGCCCATTGGAATGCATTGCTAGATTCCTATTGGCTATTTCAATTTGCAATAGCCAATAGTAAACTAGCATTGTACCCGCCCTCTGCTGCAGTTCTCCATCAGGTCCATCAGCAGAGGGCGGGTACAATGCTAGTTTACTATTGGCTATTGCAAATTGAAATAGCCAATAGGAATCTAGCAATGCATTACAATGGTCAAAAACATTCTGTGTCAGAATAAAGAAAAAAAAAAGAAAATCAGTGTTTCTCTCCTGGGCGGCCGGAAGCGGGAGGCTCCCAGAGCGCCCGGGAGATTTTTTTTTCTTCTTTTTTTTTACGGCAGCAGAACCGCCGGACAATAGAAAACTGTTGGGCGGAGCTAGCTGTCACTGCTAGCTCCGCACAATCATTTTCTATTTACTTTTTTTTTTTTAACAATTTTTCTGTTCTGCTCGGTCCCTCTGAGGGACTGAGCAGAACAGCCGAGCCCAAATGCCGCCCAGCGGCATTCGGCTATTCACTCACTGCTGTTCGGCATCTATAAGAATAGGCTGAACAGCAGTGAGTAGCCTGCCGGAGGTTCGGCTCAGCCAATCCAGATGTTGGATCGGCTGAGTCGAACTCCTTCTGCACTTCGGGTCAGCCGAACATGCCGCGCATGTTCGGCCGACCCGAAGCCACGCGAAGCAAGCCGATGTACGCCTAATTTCAGCCGATATACGGCTGATATTAGCCGTACCAGCCTGAAGTGAATAGCCGAACAGTGTTCGGCTCACTTCACTTCAGGTCGGTCATTCACTCGGCTGCCTACGGCAGCTTAGTGAATAGAACCTTATATGATCTTTGCTTTAACCTGTATTTAAAAATCAGTTTTATGTATTTACATACCTTTTTACATTTTTTTCCACTGTTTATTGTATGAAATGAAAAACAAATATTAATATAAAGCTTGGCCGTGTGTTTATGCTTGTAATTTATTGTGCTATTTTTGCTATTATTTTGTTCTCTTTGCTGTATTTTAGCAGCCTGTAACCTTACTTTAATTTATGTCATTATCTTGTACATAATATCAGTAGAAGCATCTTATCTAAGAATACTTTCAGCTGTCACAAGCATGAGAATGTTAATGAATAATATTTACAGTGTCAGCTGTTAATTGAAATAGCTAATTATGGGACTCTAGGAATGGCTTAAGTTACCTCTTATGTATCTGACACCTATGAGACATAGTTGATATAGTAGGTGAAAAATGAATAGTATGGTTTTAGCAAGACATACTACAGTAAAGTTACAGTCAAAATACACATTAATGATTTGCCATAGTCGTAGGACTAAGATTTACTACAACCTTTGCTGTAATGTCATTTTAAAACTAGCTTTTTGCATTCGAGCTATCGAGGTAAAGATCTCACGGAAAACTATTGTCGGAATCCCAAAGGAGAAGAAGGAGGGCCTTGGTGCTTTACTCAAAACCCACAAATTCGCCATGAAGTGTGTGATATTCCTTTGTGCTCACAAGGTAGAATTTATTTAATATACTTACTATATTGCATTAAACAAATGTCATGAAATAGAGTAGTATATGGTCTGTACATGTGAAAAATGTCTATTCTTAACACTTTTTTTGTCGTTCAAAATTATACCAGCCCTAAATCATTAAGGCAAAGATGATTTGGCTTAACAATTAACAATTAGCCAGACGAAAATGGCTAAACAATTAGCCAGACGAAAATGGCTGTGAAAATCTGACATAGGATTAGTTAGCCTCATTGCACACAATTGCTCATTACACCCTGCTGAAAATCAAGGCTGTAGACTAGTAAATCTGACTTGCATTTGACGGCAAAATAGAACTATAAATTGAGTCTCATAATTCTCACTTTTCCCTCTAAAGCTGGCCACACATTAACAATCTAACTGTGCAATTTACTAAATTAGGTATAACGTTATCAAAACCTTACCCAGTTATTAAACGTTTAATTAAATCTGCACAGATTACAGTGTGGACCACATATGAAATAATTTTTATTCAGTAAAATTTTCTCTTTTGGGTATAAGATATGCACAGTTTTGTGCTACACAGCTGAAACTTAAGGTTGCCACACACCTTACGATTATCGTACGATAATCTTATGCAATCGACTTTTCGTCCGATAATCGCAAGGTGTGTGGGCAGTGTACAACCACAAATACTGTACAAGCGTACAACGTTTGACTTTCAAGCATGTTTGAAAACTTTGGCCGATCGTACGATTATTGCAAGGTTAGTAGCGTTTCCGTACTTCAAAAATTGTACGATCTACACTGCTCATGCGCAAACGAAAATACGTGCGGTTGACTACCGCAATTCGTCCAAGTGCTTTTCTTTAATTACGGCTAATTGAACCTTGCGATAATCGGGGCATTATGGAGCCGCCGTACGACAATCGTACGACGGTTCGATCATCGGACGAAAAGTGTCGTCCGATAATCGTAAGGTGTGTGGCCATCTTTAGACTAAGAATAATCAGATTGTAACAAATATGGTCAAATTTACAAAGTACTGATAAAAAATAAAAATTGCAATCTTATTTAAATCCTTTCCTTTACACCAGTATTGTTTATGTTATCTCTTCTTTGCAACTCTTATCTTTAGATATTGAGGTGTTTTTTTTTTAAAGTCATATGTTATGTTATATGTACATGTTTGCTGGAATTAGCCATCACCTGATGGTTGTCATGTTCTTCGACAAAAGGAACAGCATGATAGACAGGCAACTAGCAACTTCATAAGAAAGGTAATAATGGCAGCCTGCATATATCTCTCATGCACTGGTGGAACTACCACGGTCACAGCGGTCGCAATTGCAACCGGGCCCTGCCATTCCGCCACTTGGGGGGGGGCAGCGAGGAAGAAGAGGGCCCCCCGAGATAGTGCCGCTCCTTCCCTGCCGGCGGAGGCCCCTTTAAACGGCCGCCGCAGCGGCGATCCGACCTGTCATTTCTCTCCTCCCCGGCCGCTCTGTAGCTGCAGTGACCGGGGAGGAGAAAAGCCTGTTCAGCTGCCTCTCTGATGCCCGATTTAGTAGTCGGGCTCCTCGGCAGCGATGTGCAGCTTCCTCCGCCCACTCCAGCTGCTATGGGCAGGGAGGAAGCTGCACCACCACTATTGGCTGACAGAAGGAGAGCGGCGCGGGTCCTGAGAACAGGAAGAAGACTGGGCCACCATGCTGACTGGAGGCTTCACAGGAACAGGAGACATGGCTGCTTCCCCACCCCGTACCAGGAGAAGAAGAAGGCAGAACATCAGATGATCTATATCTACTGTAAGTCTCTGTACTGTGTATCCCCCTCTGTACTGTGCGTCCCCCTCTGTACTGTGCAATCCCCTGTACTGTGCATCCACCCTGTACTGTGCATCTCCCCCTGTACTGTGCATCTCCCCCTGTACTGTGCATCTCCCCTCTATACTCTGCGTCCCACCCCTGTACTGTGCGTCATACCCCTGTACTGTGCGTCCCACCTCTCTACTGTGCGTCCCACCTCTCTACTGTGCGTCTCACCCTTGTACTCTGCGTCCCACCCCTGTCCTCTGCGTCCCATCCTTGTTCTCTGTATACAACCTTTTTCATTATTGGTGTAAGTGGGGGAGGGGCCTCACATTTGAATTTTGCCTAAGGCCTCACAAAGTCTAGAGCCGCCTCTGTCCCACAGAATGTGCTGCAGGCACATTCTGCTGTGTGAGGACACTCTCCACTTAGCCCCGCCCCCTGGCCGCGGAGACGAGGAAGAGGGCCCTGCAGGAGACGGAAGGTAAGTCTGGAGTGGGAGGGGGGATGCTGGTGTAGTGGGATTCTGTAGTGCTGACTTCTATTATAATGTATTGCTGGGACTTGTAGTCCCGGATAGCTGGTGGTATTCTACATTACTGTATGATGATTATACAGTAATGCAGAATATATCCAACTATGTAGGACTACAAGTCCCAGCAATACATGATAGTGTGTGTGGGGGATGCTGGTGGTGTTCTGCATAGCTTACTTTGATTATAATGTATTGCTGGGATTTGTAGTCCCGCATAGCTGGTGGTATTCTGCATTCCTGTATGTTGATTATACAGCAATGCAGAATAGCTCCAACTATGTAGGACTACAAGTCCCAGCAATCCATTTTATTATTAAGTAGGGATGCACCAGTGCCAATACTGGGCATTTTCGCGAATACTCGTGAAAATGCCCCGATACTAAACACAGATACCGGTGTTCTGTCGAGAACGCCTACGTAGTCGAATTTGGCGACCTCAGCATCTGCGCTTGCGCACAGACCAGTATTATCGAGGAAACCGGGATTTATTCACAAAGTATCTTGTTTAAATCGTTAATTGTGACTGTTAATAATATTCCATCCGTCATTCACTGCCACCCGTCATTCACTGCAACCCATCATTCACTGCCACCCATCATTTCCTGCCATGGACAGTATAATATTAACGGTCACAATTAACAATTACAAACAAATACTTTGTAAATAAATGCCGGTTTTCTCGGTAATCCCGTTTGTACGCAAGCGCAGATACTGGGTCAGCGTTCTCGACAGAACACTGCACTAAAATTTTAAACAAGCGGCTGCCTGAGGTCCCGCGCTTGCTGGGGAGCTCGGCAGCTTTCCTGTTAACATGCGGTGCCATGGCGGTTGGGGATGGGGGGCCCGTCATGGTTTCTTGCACCGGGGCCCTGAAGGTTCTAGTTACGCCTCTGCTCTCATGACAGGGTTTTCTTTAAAATATTGCCTGCGTCCCATTAGGAAGATATCCCTCCACTTCCTGTCCTGCAGACACAATGGAAAGTGAGAAGAAATCTATCCAAAGTTAAGGCAATCCTCTACCATTGGGACACTACCCCTATATTCCTGTTCTGGTGAAACTCAAAGACTTGGATTAGTCCCTTTGATAATGGTCACCAGGAGAAATAGAGAATTATTCTGCCCAGTGATGACACAGGCAGCAATAAAAACACAACAGTTGTTATACACTAAAGGTGCCCATACACCTTACAACCATCGCAAGACTTTTGTCTTGCGATGGTCGTATGCTTATTGAAAGCTCGTACGATCTGCCCACCTTGGACGGGCAGATCGTACTTGCGATCATCGAAAGCCCGCCCCGCTGAGGGGCGGGCTTCCGATGACCGCAATGCAGAACGGGCCGGTGTGCGTGCGCACACCGGCCCGTTCCACAGCTATCGAACGAGCAGGCTAGAAACCCGCCGACAATCAAACGATTCTTTGCGGGTTTTCGAGCATGCTGGTTCGACAAAAGACGTGCGACCATACAGTAGAAACAGTCGCACACCTTCCATACACTGTACGATTCTCGTACGATCGCGGGATTTCCAGCGATTCTCGTACGAGACTCGTACAGTGTATGGGCACCTTTACACATTCTATCAAAAAATAGCAATAGATACACTTTAACGGCTTGCCAATGCCAATAAGTTTAAACTGTGCTGTTCAAAATGTTGTAATTACCCTTTAATTGGTTAATGTTCTTTTGCTCAATGTGCCTTTGGTGTGTTTAAAACATATTTTAGAAATGCTAAATAATTAATAATAATAAGTCTTTAACATCAATGTACAGTATGAATCATGTATTATTGGAATTTGCATTCTAGCAAATAAACATATCCTTTGTATTTACTCAAGAAACACTAAATTATGGAAAGAAAACATAGAGCATAAAGAAAACAAAAGGAAGACTGGCTTCACAACATTCTAGCATCAGCATTTTTATTTTATAACCATTGTATTCTATGGTTTGGCAGTTTTACTTTCTAAATCCAAACCAGGTGGCCCTGGAGAAACACAATAGTTGCAGACACACGCTTTTGAATGTCTTACCAAATCCAAACAAATGTGTTCCAAATTTTTTAACATATATTGCAAGGCTATAGTCCGGTCATGCTGACTGGTGAAATTTTTGACTGACTGGTGAGACACCGCCAAATTTTTCAAGCCCTGGTTATACACATAATTTTTTGGGCATTTAGTGGAAATACTCTCTGTATAGGAGAACAATTTATGTTTTTCTAAAAAAAGTTTTGAATTTGCAATGTCTCCTAACATTATTCTTTTTTCAAAAAGTTTACATAATTTGTTTTGCTTTAAGGAGATTCCAAATCTAAAAGTTATTTTGTTTACCCAAAGATAAAAAAAACTGTTGACCATACGTATTTCTGTTTAATCATATTAACTTGTAAAACATGTCCATAAAAGCTGTGCTTGGTTCATTGAGCAAATGATTAGAGATGAGGGAATCTGCCCAGATTTAATTTGTTGAAATTTCTACAAACCCTGTTTGAAGTGTTGCAAACCCAAAATTAGTGTTGAATACCACTAAAGTCAATGGCAGTTTTTGTTTTTTCATTTTTAGGACTAAAAGGCAAACTACTGTCAAAAAATATATAAAAGCATGGGAAGGTGGGCACTGCCAAGGTGACCATAAAGCAGGAGATTTTTTTGGCTTCAGGAGCACCATTGAAAATACTCAAATCCTTTAAATAACATACTTGAGAGAACACTTTAAAGCTGTATGGTGTGTTACAGAACAATACAATTTTCATGGACAGCTTCAGCAACAGCATACGCTGGCAGTGCATATTTGACTATGGAATTGATTTTTTTCTTTTACAATTAGCTTGTCTTGCATACAGCAGCCATACCCCATTCTAATTCATTTTAGTTTAAAAAGAGGCTTTCTTCAGGTAGTTTTGACAATCACACATGCTTTTTCATGAAGCGGTAATAGGCCAACTTTGACCAACCAGTAGAAATTGGTTCTCTAAGGCTGTCCCTGTTCTCACCGATGCCAAAGTGTTCATCCATGTCCCCTCCTCCCACTCCATACACCCTCATCCAAAGACCAATAAAGCTCCGTGGCTGCAGAATAACAGCCAGGGTTTTGATCTTTAAACTGATGTTTAACCATTCTTGATATTAGCTGACTGTCTATAAATACAGTATACTGTATGTAAAGTAGCCCCCATTCCAAACCCACTCCCGTGATGGACTGCAATCTAACATTAAGTTTTCAATTTGTATTTAAATTATAGTCTGTCATGGGAGAAAGCTTGGAGCGGTGGCTACTTTACAACACACACAGGGACCATGGGGAACATAAGTAGCCACCTTCCAGATGAAAGAACAGTGTTAACACAAATTCAGAGATGATTTGAGGGTCTACACAAATAAGCTACATTGTTGTTAATAGTTAAGGTGCTTGAATGCATTTTTAAGATTTAACTCCTGAGTTTAGTGTCACTTTAATGAGTCAAAGTCAAGTTTCAGCAGTATGATTTGATTGCCTCTGTTGTGAAATTTGAAAGTATATTTCTGCACAATAGCTGCAGCCAGAGTTAAATGAGGGCTTGTTTTAAAGTGTTTGCACTGCTTGTTCAGTATATGTAAACACTTAAGTGTGCATAATTTGGACACAGGTTAAACATTTTCTGTTAGACCCACAGGCTACATAGGCCTTTCTAATTGCAGGATTGCTTGATTCAAAGGCCCTAAAACCTGCTGTAGCATATAGACCGATTAATATATGTTGGTTCTGCTCCATTGGTTTTGGTGCTCCATTGTTTATCAGCGGTGCTCCACTGTTTAGTAGTAAGAATACACCAATCTTTTACCATGTGTTGCTAGTTACTAGGAAGGAAATACAAAAGGAGTAGAAATGGCCCCATGCTAATCAATGAGTAATGGATTTCTCAGAACATCACTGCAATGTTTTCAGCTTGCTGTATCTAATTTAGTGTGGAAATTAAATAAATTAAATTAAGATCTTAAATGCAAAACATAACAAGGTATGATGTAAGAATAACTCCTATAGGAACTGTAGACAGCAGTACTAAAGTAACAAGTCTTTTTTGGCGAGAGTGAACGTCAAAATAATATTTCATGCCGTTATTGGGATTTCAAGAGGACATTACAAAATTTGATAAATGTTGGTTAAAGGAGAACTATGGGGTCAGGGCTTTTCCCCATAGTTCGCCTTAGGGTGACGGGAGGACACAAACTAGCATCCTCCCGTCACCCTAAGCTCAGTATACCGCGAGCTACAGTATACTGAGACACTGCACGCGGAGCGGATCCCAACATCGATGTCGAGATCCACCCAGCTGCGTGAGTAACAGCTGGCTTTGCCTATCTAGAGGCAGAGCCAGCTGTACCCACCCCCTCCCTGTCCGTTCCGCCAGTCAGCCAGTCCATTCGTTCCGCCAGTCCGCCAGGGAATCCATCCCCTCCCCTGTCACAGCAGAGAGCCGTGACAGGATCGAGAAGTGAGCGAACACCGGCATGTGTTCACTCACCTCCCGATCTACTGAGCTGACCTGTGACAGTCTCATTGTCACAGGTCGGCTAGAACTATGAGGTGAGTGAAAAGCACTCACCTCATAGTTCTCCTTTAAGTAGTAGTTCATATCCTACTGTTTGGCATATCAAATCAATTTTGTTCTACTTAACTCTTCACAGCCAATGTGATTTCAGTGGTTATATGTTTTAACAATACACTCAATAGTCTGAAAATTGTAGCCTACAGCAGAATTCCACTGCCTAATGCTAAGCCATTTATTTCAATTAAAGTACACCTCTCATTACACCTAAACATTATGCTAAACTGGTTTCTGGAACAATGAAGGCACACATGTGGCATACCATGGAAGGAATTTCCAGTGACGCAATTTTGGCACCAAAATGACTTGTCAAATAAGGTGAGGATGAGTGTTAAGCATAGGTCATAGATGAGGAAGGGTATGGGTGCTTGCATTGATACGTAATGTTTCAACAGTCTCCTTGTCTAAATGTTTGGTTCTGGGGTTCTGATTTGAAGTGTACCAATGTACTGATCTTCTCACATTTCAAGAGAGCACCAAATTTATGTCTGCTCTTGTAAGCAAATTTCACCATTTCAAAACCATATTGATAGACACTGGCTCCTGCCCCCTTCTGTTGCCCAGTGAATTTAGCTATCACAGTTATAATCTATGAAGGTAAGGAAGGCAGGAGGGGTTAGAAAAGCACTTGGTTGCTACACAGTGTTGGGGTTTGTATACTAGAACTCCACAAATTTTGGTGCTCGTGAGAGTGTGAGGAAGGCATGTGGGGGCATATAGACATCTTTAAACATTTTTTACAATGGCAAGTGTGATTAAATTGTTTGTCTCAAAACCTGTAACAGTCATGCCAGTTTTTAGTTCAGAGCCCAGACATGCATTTATTTAACATTTTATATTAACTTAACCACACATTTGTGTTCTCTGCTAAAATATACACTGCAATTTATTTTCAGTGGAATGTGTGACGTGCAATGGGGAACATTACAGAGGAGTGATGGATTACACAGAGACAGGAAAAGAATGTCAGCGATGGGATTTGCAGAGGCCACATAAGCACAAATTTCGTCCCGAGCGGTAAGTACTGCCCAAAAAAACATTTCATTATAAAAATTTAGAATGGGCTATACCCTGATCTACGAGAAATTCAACTGAATTGAGTTTAAAGTCGCCTTATTTTAAACCAACTAAGGATTGAATTGTAAACAGAAGTTAAATAACCTGCTTATGTAAACTTCCTGGAATGTGTCTGTTAATTGGATAGATGGGTTGTTGATCCATGATTGGGTTTATGTGCTTCTGTTCAGAAAAGTTTAAAGGGACTGAGAGGTTGAAAACTGCTCCAGGGTTAAATACATTGATGCTCAATAATGGGGTTTACCCTGCTTACATGTCTGGTGGGACTGTAATATTGTCCATTAGGGTTGAACAGAGTGGTTTTGGCAAAACTGATTTCGCCACAAAATTAAAAATTTCATCAAGCTGGAACCAAGCTGACATGATAGTATTAGTATACAGCAGCATTTAACATTTAGATTTAAACAACTTAGATTAGAATGTCTGCCTGATAATAATTACATGTGGTCATTTGCATTCAAATACTCACAAATGCTGCAAAGTACTGTTACCTTAGGGAAAAGGGAACGACTGAACATTCGGACTCAAAGATTTTACAACCTTCCCGGAAATCTATGAATACAATTCTAGATACATCATTCATGTTGCACTACTTATCACTACGAATGTTCAGACTGGTTGCATTTTTTTAAAAGAAGTTAGAATTGTGTGGGTTAGTGTTGTAAAATGTAAACATTTGTAAATACAATGTACTTTCTCCTACTGTACTTGCTATTTGTTTTGCTAATGAGGAAACCAATATTGTTTTCTATTAGTCATGACTAATTGTAGAGCATTTTGGTAAACAACATTGTGATTTCCAGTCATAGATTAATCCTTTATTTAAGAATATAATCTGGTATGACATTAAGCATACACAGATGTCATTTTCTCTTCGTCCTAATGTCCATCATTGCACCTGGGGGATTGAATTTCATATCAATGCTGAATTCAATATTGACTAATTTAAACTGATCAGGAAATGTATCAGGCACATAAACATCAATATAGTCACATTTAAAATGGTAGGAAAATTGATGTAGTGTTCTTGTTTCATAGTATTATCAAATTAGGTACACTGTTCAGAAAAGATGATACATCTAAATTATATAACAAACTATGTAAATAAATATGCATGCATAAAAAGATTGCAAGCTACAGGGTTGCTTTACTAAAGAAGTAGAATGTTCACTTAACTCAGTAAACGTTTTTTTGCAAATACCCAATCATTTGCGTGGGAGCTGAAAAGAATATAGAACAATATAATTCGTGGTTGAAGTTAATATAAATAAAGTGACATTAAACTCAGGAGGTAAATCTTAAAAATAAATTCAGGTACCTTAACTACTTGCTGTCCAGAGAAATGTCTTACTATTTGCACACACATGATAAAATCTGTAATTTTGGCTAGAAAGCAGCTTCAAACCTCAAATGATACATTTTCTGCAATTTTTTATGTTGCACGTTATTTGCGCAAATGTTTATCAAACCAGTATTTTTAGGATAAAATACACCAAAATGAAACCTAAAGCACAGAAACAGAATATAATGCCCAATTGTTTTGCAAAATATAAAAGATGGGTTGACGTTGGATAAATAGATACAAACACGTCAAGCCTTAAAATTGTGTTGGCCTGCAAAGCCGCAAAAAACTACACTTCACAAAGTTTCCCATAGAGGTCACTTTAAAAGTGTTTCGTGTAGAGGTCACTGTGTTTAGTGTTAACAGTGATTAATGGCACTAGAATTATTGCTCTCACTCTGACATTCACGGCAATATGTAACACATGTAGCGCAATTTTTGCACGTAGGCGCACAGACGCATGTTTGCATATGTATGTGCATGCACTTGGGGGGCAGGGGACTTTAAAAAAAAATTTGTATTTAAAAAACATTTTTTATATGTTTTATTTTTTTAAACACTTTTTATTTATTTTTTTACACTTTTAACTTTATTGCTATCACATAGGGTCTAACAAGCCCGGTATGTAGTAGCAAATAGGATGTGACTGGTCCTCTTTATAGAGACATATTTTCTTTCCGACCCCTAATGTCACCTAGGGACCCCAAATAAGCTAATAAAGCAGAGATCTGCTTCCCCAGCTTCTTCTCCTGACTCTAAGAGCCTAAGAATGTAAATAGTGACACCGGAAGTGATGTAATACACAACACTTCCTGGTCCAGTGATCGGAGGACATATCAGCAGCTAGAAGCTTGCTGATCTCTCCCCAATCAATGTGGAGAGACCTGCCGTGCCGGTCCCGGGCCCACATGGGGGGACAGTGGAGCCCAGGGTAGCCGGCCGCAGTGTGGGGGAGAACACATTCTGCCAATCGGTACAAGGTGTGTTCTTTTTATAACCACTTCACTTGGTATAACCCACCTGAAATGGTTAACTATTAACAAAAATGTATCTTATATGTGTATCACTCAGTTGTAGATCCTCAAATCATCTCTGAATTCCTGCTGACACTATCCTTCCTTCTGGAGGTTGAGTACTTTTGTTCCCCACAGTCCCTGTGTGTGTTGTAAAGTAGCCACCATTCCCTCGCTCACTCCTGTGATGGACTATAATCTTCTGTTTAGTTTACTAATTTGTATTGAGATTTTAGTTTATCACAGGAGCAAGCTTAGAGTGGTGGCTGCTTTACAAAACACAGGGACCATGGGGAACAAAATTAGCCACCCTCCAGGAGGAAGGAAAGTGTCAGCATTAATTCAGAGATTATTTGAGGACCTACAGCCGAGTGATAGAGAAATAAGCTAGATTTTTGCTATTAGTTAGAGTACTTGAAGGCATTTTTAAGATTTAACTCCTGAGTTTAGTGTCACTTTAACTGGTGAACATTCTACTCCTTTATAAATCAACCACTATGTCCATACAGAATGCTGCAAATGGTATGGTTTAAACCACATTGAATCTTATTGCACAGGTTTTCTGCCTACCCAAAATTATAAATACATAGGGGTTGATTTACAAAAGGCAATTAGGCCGTTCACTTTGCAAAGAAATATGCACATTGCAAGGGAATTTTCCCATAGCTTAGTGAATGAGGTAAAATCTCATGTGACTTTTATAATCCAATCACATGCAAGCATTTTTTTAGAATTTTCCTTGCACATGATAGGGTATTCTTTGCAAAATGAACTTTCACCGCACTCACTAAACTAATGGAAAATTTGGTTGCAAAGCGAACAGCACATTTGCCTTTATTAAAATTAACTGCAATATATCTTAAATTTAATTCTATAATTCTTCACTTACAGTTGAAATTTCTGACAACACATGCAGTTACTGATGGGAGTAGAAAGCCCTCTTATGACATATAAAATGAGGGCTATGAACAGGGCATATGTTGGTAGAATTGTAAGTGTCTTTCTCTGCCAACATATTCCTTTTAATATAGTTAAATAAAACCTTGGTTGATTGTTTACTAGTTTTTTAATACCCTAAATCTTGAATCTTGTGGCAAATTACTACATAGTGTAATAAGGATAATTTCATATAAAAAGTAACTTTGTTCATTTTTCCTGACACTCCCAGTGGAGGCAATACAGGGTAATCCTAGGATGCCTAGAAAGTAGTCTGGCCTTGACATATGGGACAGTATAAAACAACATTGTAAAACAAGTCAAGTTATTTAATCACGTGTAGTTAAAAGTTTAGGAATTTTCATAGGAAGGTACTTCCCATATGAATCATTTTTGGTTCATGGTTACCTTTTATACAGGTTCATTATTCAGTGGGACAGATACATTTTTATAACCTGGGAGAACTCATAACTCTCTTCTTTAGACTCCCTTTCAGCAAAGAATTTAGCAATATACTTATATCTGCTAGCAGATTAAAAGCTCAGGAATCTTAAATTGGATTTCTCTGCATAAAACTGACATCTGATATTAAACAGTGATGGCTTACACACAAGACATGGATCATGGTACAACGATGGACCTTTTATACTTTTACAGTGAACATTGATTTATGTGGAGCATAATTTTGTATCCTGCCTAATTGAAAAAACATGTTTCCAGAAGCAAAGCCTGCACTTTAGTATGCTGACATATTGATGAATAATACAAATGCATATTGAGAATAAAGTAAACTTGATTGCTGCTTAGTGTAAGACTGACTTAGTATGAAGAAAATAAACACATAAATGGCAGGTTAAGTGGGGGAATTTTTTTTAGTGGCTTTTTATTGAGATCAATAGATTAGTGTTTTCTGTTTTTTCACCTTGCTACAGATGTCTGACAGGGACATATAGCAGGAATATAGATATGATTTTGGGAAATCTGTCCCTGTCAGGATAAAGTCCATAAACCCATCACACTTGAGACCGCTATTCCAAAATAATAAAAGTGGGTGTTGTAGAGGTCGACGGATGGCAACCGTACTAATCACAAGTAGAAATATAGACAGCGGCACTCCAATAGCAAAATCAAATACATCTATTTATTGACGCATGGGCAGCATTATGTGATACACTCAATGCAATGTTTAGGGGTCTCACAGGATCCCCTTCATCAGGCAGGCACTTGTTCTTTCCCGGCAGCAGTGAAAAAAATCACATAAATGTACGCCCACCCGCCAGGAAGCGGGTGGGCCTGTGCTTTTACGATGGGCGGATGGCAAGGGGTTAATTGTCAAATCCTGCGGGACTGCAGGAAATCAACTGCTGATCTAGAGTACCCTGTCTGCTTCAAGAATGCATTGAGCTCTATTCTAGAGCACTGTTTTCTCAATGCCTTGGCAACAACTACCAGTCCAACAGAGATTTGGAGAACAATTACATATAAGGGTCTATTCATGAAGCTGCCGAAGGATCTAGCCGTAGCTTCGGCCGATCCTTCAGCTAGCTTCGGCCCCAGGACCCCTTCGGTTGAGTAGAACCGAAGGGGTGCTGTACGGGCTATTCACTATAGCCCGTACAGCTCCCGAACATGGCCGAGCGGCTCAGTCTGCCAAACGCATATGCATCGGCTCGGCTGAGCCGCGCTGAAAGCCGAAGCTGGCCGAGCAGCCGACCATTGGCTGGCCGACAGCCTGCTTCTGACAGCTGGGCGGAGTCAGCCGTGATATTACGTCTGGCTCCGGCCACTTGCAGAGAGATCAGTGTCCCTGGTTACCAGCTAACCAGGGACACTGATCTCCAAACAGCTAACTCTCCCTGACGCCCCGGGAGTCTCTTGCTCCCGGCAGCCAAGGAGAGAAACACTGCTGTTTCTTTTTTTTCTTTATCCTGACACGGAGCGATGTCAGAATAGAAAAAAAAACTAGCATTGTACCCGCCCTCTGCTGCAGTTCTCCATCAGGTCCATCAGCAGAGGGTGGGTACAATACTAGTTTACTATTGGCTATTGCAAATTGAAATAGCCAATAGTAATGTAGCAATGCATTTCAATGGGAAATATTTTGTTTTTCTATTCTAACATCGCTCCGTGTCAGAATAATGAATCAGAATAAAGAAAAAAAAAGAACAGCAGTGTTTCTCTCCTGGGCAGCCGGGAGCGGGAGGCTCCCAGAGCGCCCGGGAGAGTTTTTTTTTCTCGTTTTTTTGACGGCAGCAGAGCCGCCGGACAATAGGAAACTATTGGGCGGAGCTAGCTGTCACTGCTAGCTCCGCACAATCGTTTTCTATTTACTTTTTTAAAAACTTTTTAACTCTTTTTTTGTTCTGCTCGTTCCCTCTGTTTTGTCAAACCCACTCATGCTAGCATTAAATATTATGGCACTGATAGATTTTCATAAATACTTTGCAATAAAGAAACTGTAGAGCACTTCTGTGTCGTTTCTATGGATATATACCTTAACTTTCTCATCAAACAAGCTGAGACAAACAAAAATAACAGACATTGTATGAATAAATTGGTTATATGAATCATCTGAATGTTGGTTTGTAGAGGATTAAAGCAAGGACCTGATAGGATGATATGGACAATTCCACAGTCTGCTTATGCCCTAGCTTCCTTAAATATTTCCATATGAGTATGTCTTAACAACTGCAGCTATACTACAGAATTCATGGCCAACGGCTGCAAGCTCAACAAAAATTAAACTGAAAACTATGCTTGCAACATCTATTTTTAGCAATAGCTCAGCTTCGCCTCTTCAAAGTCAGTTGTGTTAACAATATTTAAAGCAGATGACTACTTTAGGCCCTTTGGTAAAAAAAAAATATATGAATTAGTTGGCAGTTACATGAACCACAAAAAAACCTTATTATCTTTTTATGTTTTACATTATCTCAGGACAACATTATTTTCATTTATTCCCTCAGGTTTAATCCTCAGTTTCCCTGCTCTCAAAACGATGTAATGAGTCTGTGCTTTACAGGCACTGTGCTAGATACACCTTTAGGCTAATCTGCAGCTGCAAATATTTTTTTATGGCATCTAGCTTATTTAAAAAAAATCATACAATAAAATAATATAGAACCTAATCCTCTGCAATCATCTCATAATACCATGGTTGTTTTTATTAAGATATTGCTAAATATTTGCTTCTACCATAAAGTGCAGCTGCAAGCCCTAAAGACCGTGTTTCTGTCATGATCTGTAGTGAGTGTTTGTGATACTAAATTATTTTATTTTATTATATCTACATTAAACATTGGATAGCATTTTTATGAGATACGTTATCTGCCTATATAAGTCCATACACGTAAGTTCCATGTGGCATTCTGCCTCTCCACTCTTATAGGCAGTGTACTTAAAGGTTTTCTAATTAAAATGTATTTAAAGTTTTCTCTGTGCAAATAGGTTGCTAAAACCACGATTCTTGTTCTGCTGACAACTGACAAATTTCCCATCTCTAGCGGTCCCAGCAATAATGATCACCAGAATAAAAAGAGAGAGGGTGAATCTTTTCAGTTGGGGTACCGACAAAAAAAAGGCACCAGCTATCTAAAAGAAAAAGCTAAGTTTTGGCATTAGATACACTTTAAAATGTATTAGTAGGAACCCTAAGGGGTAAATAATAATAGCAATAATTATTTTTTATTTCAAATAACTTTGAAGCTGTACATTACATATTTTATTATTAGAGTTCACAGATCATATTTAGGAAATTCCTCTCTTTCTGTCTGCATTCCATCTAGGATTTTGTGATTTAATGAAAAGCATTTCAGCATACATGTATATACATATACTTTTTGATATATGACGAATAGCAACCAGCGAATTGCTTCCTTCCCCAAACTCATCAGAACAACTGATGTTTTCTGAAGTTATGCTGGTTTATGGATCTGTTAAATCATTTTAGGTATTTATGAGTTAATGAAAATACGACAGCCTCTGAACTGCAGGTGGTTCTAATTATACAGGAATTTACATATACATGATAACCTAATAAAACCTTTTTACTAATCGGGTTCCAAGAACTGCAGATTCATCTATGTATTTATCTTTCAATTTTCTGATGGCAGAAAGTGTAAGTATAATAAAAGTAAGTTTGTAAAGGGAAATGTTTAAAAGAGTTGTTTTGCTTGCATCTTAAGGTTTGGTTAAAGTCTTGGTAAGCATTTCCTAAATTAGCAGAGATTGATTAAAGATGAACTCTTTACACTGTTTATGACATTTTTAGATTCCTAATAACACAGGGTTACATTTTGCAATGTACTCCTGTAATCAAAAATACACCATAAGCTCAGGATTCACTATAAGATAATGTGGGTGTGGCTAAACCATGCCCTTTGAAGAGATTCTGAAACAATTGTTGGGATCCTCCCCACCCATTGACAAACAGCTCCTTGTAGGAACTGCTGCACTTTCATGAACACCTGTGCATGCATAGTAGCTCTTTCCCCACAGCTCTGTCCCCGCTTCCATCTTCCATCCCCACCTCTCCTCCGCACTGATGTCTGCGGCTTCGTAGCAATCACTGACTCAGCTTTCGCATGTCTTACCTCACTGTGCCACCTTCCGCTAAGCGTGGCATCATGTTGCTGTGGAAACAGACCCATGGGACAGTGTATACGCTCTGGTCCGAAAGCAGGTGTGCTTGCATTGGCCACACCAAGGCTTGTACGTTTGAATGAAGGGAGGGGATGGGTTACAAACCTTGTTACTGCCCCCTGTGAAGATTCAAACTAGGTGCAGGGCTGTTGGTGGCTCTTCACTGATTACTGAAATATGGATATCTCTTATGTGCAGTGGCTTTGGAAGCAGGGAATGCTATTGGCAGGATAAAGGTAATAAGTACATTTATTATACTGTATGTCATGATTCTCCTTTAAAACATTAATATTATCATTCTTTTTTTGTTGAATGCACATGTGCTGCATCTTGTCATTATGAAAGTGAATATTGACCATAAACAACTTTTTTTTTATTGTGCTTCATAAATTCCAACTCAGTACTATAAGCTGATACAATGTCATTTTTTATTCTGGTACTTTAATTTTTGATTACAACGCTTTTCACTAGAAACAAGATGATGGAAAAGAATGAATAACCTTAGGCCTTTTAATGCTCGAGAAACAAGCAGAACATCACAAACCTCATTACCAGTTAAAAGGATGGGGTTTCCTTCTGTTATCATCAGCTCCCCTAATGAGTTGGAATACCATGCTGTGCTCATGAAATCCACACCTAATTGGGTGTTTTAAAAATGAAAGGTGATCTGGCTCTGTCAGTCTGCTTGGATGACACATGATGTTTTCTTTTTTCTCTAACTGCATTTTCTAGATATCCTAGCAAGGGACTGAATGATAATTACTGCCGCAACCCTGATGGCAAAGCTAGACCATGGTGTCACACACTTGACCCTCTCACCCCCTGGGAGTTCTGTGCAATTAAGCCCTGTGGTGAGTGGTAACCAAATATATGCCTTCTAAGTTCACTTTTTCTTTATTAGCATGCCAAACTTCAAATAAATTAAATGCTGAAAACATTTGCTTTGACTACTACATTTCAAGCATGCCAACTAATTAATTTGCTAGGTAAACACCATATCCTTGCTAATGAATAATAGCTGTCATTTACAGTATGTAATCACTTGTTAGTCCACTGAAAACTACATTATTATTTTAGAGTGAGTGCCAATGGTTTCCGTCATTTCAAGCTTTTCATAATATTTGGAAATGTTGGCAGGGAAATCCCCAGAGATCTCAGCTCTGTCCCCCTATTGATGTCTGATTCAGACCATATAATTAGCAACATGTTCTTCCGATTCAAGCACAGACTATCCATCTGGGAGACAAGTAACCACTTCAGTTGTTATGTGGTCTAAGTGAGAGTGCAGTGAGAATTTCAGGGCAGATTTTGCTACCATGGTCCCAGTATGTTTCAAGAAATGTAATCATTTTCCAGTATCCCTGCTAAATTGGGTAACAGTTCTAGGGGGGTTTAGGGTTGTGTATACAAGATTCAACCTTTGGGAGGAGCTTCAGTCATAAACTTGCATGTTTCAGCCCACTGATCATAAAAGTTTCAGGCAGGAGGGAGCACAATCAGACACAACCAGACACTTCTGGTGCTGATGGATGAAACAATTGACTTTCATGTTTGTCCAATCCATCTATCCTGCTTCGTATCTGGCAACTAGGGGTTTCTTTTCACATGAAGAAAAAGGAAAGATTGCACAGTATCTATTAAAATGTTTTTCCTTTATTCCAAATTAGCACAGGAAACAAGATAAAGCTGTAAAGCTTGTATCCTGTGCTAATTTGGAATAAAGGAAAGAAGTTGTATTGTGAACACATTGAGGCTGATTTACTAAAGAAGTTGAAAATCTTCACTCAATAAACCAAGTGAAAATTCACTTAAATTATCCACTCATAGGAAAAGCAAAGTCCTGATTATTAATTTAATCTGTACATGATTGGATAATTGAAGCGGACATTCACACAGTTTATTTAGTGAATATTTTCACCTAATACATTGTCATAAAATTATAAAATATCTTTTATTTTGTAAAAATGACTTGACACAAAAAAGGTCTTATATCTTACACATATCACTTAGGATTTCTATTGTTGCCAATTGATATGAGACTGGCTCTTGATTCAGGCAAAATTGGCTGGACTTATACATTTTTTACCTCAAACAAATAATGAAATATGTGCGTTTACAGTGATCACACATTGATCGCGTATGTACATCATAGAAAGGGGGTCTGTCAATGATAGACAAACTGGCACATGCTCTTAAAGTATGTAATGGTTAAAGTGATATTAAACCTTATTTTTTTTCTTTTTATCAATGGGAGACTGCCTTTATGCAGATCTTTGGTTTGTGTTTCTTTTTTTAATTCTTCAGTTCTTTGTTTTTTAGGGAGTCCCCGCATTGCTCTCCCTCTTACCTCCTCCCCAGGGTGCTACAATCAGCTAATCAGCTACTGTTGAGGCACCCATGTGTGTGCATTCCCGGCCATGCCCGCAGTAGCTGTGTGTGTCCATAGACAGGCAGGTCATTCCCCTCCTCTCTGCCCAACAGTTTGATTGGTGGCAGAAGGAGCCTACTGCTCCTCTGCCTTCAGTATCCTCCTCCAAAACCATGATGTTTGGGATAGAGGATCGCTTCGGGTACTGGCGGCGGTAACAAGCGGCGGTAACAAGCGGCGCTGACAGGTAAATGTGGGAGGGACGTGGGAGTCAAAAGGGTACTATGCCTTTTTTACCTTAATGCAGAGAATGCATTAAGGTAAAAAATGCCCAGCCTTTAGTAATAATTTAAACAACAAACAACAAGCAACATGGCAAGGCAACTTGCAAACAATTGCTAATATCTGAAGAAAATAATGACTGTGCCTTTTTAAGTTTCCAAAAACCAGTCTAGACACACAGATTAATCAGATTTGGTCATTCACTAAGCAGACAAATTAAAATGCAGTCTAGGTTCATTATAATAAAATTCAATTTACTAAGCCAGATATTTTTACGCAACATCCAACATAATTATTATAATACACTTTTTTAGGCCTTTAGAAAACACAATGACACTTTACTCACTTTTCAGTAAATGATGTTTGGCTTATCTTTGGTTATACCCTCACGTGTTGTAAAATGCAAGGATCTGGCATCTCAAAGAATGAGAATGCCAAATAAAATATTTTAATACATCAGAACATAACACTGATTACAGTAAGAGTGTGTGCTCCAGATGTTTTTAACTTGGATAGAGGAACAGCTGTCCATTAACTTAAGTGGCACCATGGCTTCATTTTCATTTCTGAAAAATACATAGGACCTATATGTAACCTAGGCATACAACAGTTGCTGATGCAGATTTGGCCACCTCTGAGGTCAGGGAATATTAATAATCCTGCTGCTATATTCTCCCCTTACAAAACATTAAGGGAAAGCATGTCTCTTATTTTTCATAACAACATTTTACAGAAGCAATTAACCTTTCTATTACTGATGTTTTGGTTGTCTTAGCACACAGCATTGTCAACAATACTGATATTACAACAGAATGCATTAAGGGACAAGCAGAAGGATATCGTGGAACTGTCACAACAACATACAATGGAATCCAGTGTCAGAGGTGGGATTCCCAGTTTCCACATCAACATAATTTCACTCCAGAAAACTACAAGTGCAAGTAAGAAAATTATTTATGTCAATAATAGGTACTGTATTCAGTATAATGTTTTTTTATTACATTTTAATGTTTCAACATTATTGGGCAGAGATGAATTTCAACAGCTATTTCTGTGCTCATAATGAAAAAATCTTTGTGATGCTGGTACTTAAACCTGAACTTTGGGTATAAATTATTATGTAAACTTATATTGGTCCAGCTTGGCCTAATAACGGTATGCATATGACACACCTGATTGGCCAACAGAGATCCTGTAAAGCATTGTAGTAGCTAGAGCTACTACAGAACTGACAGTGATCTTCTGATTACTGTATGGTGCTGTGCTGAGTGACTTCCCTTCTGCACTGAAAACACATTGGGTCACTCACTTATCGCAGTAGCCATTCAGATAATGCCTAGTACTTTTCAGTATGTGTTGAAGCTGTTAGGGAAAGTTGACAAATTTCTGTAGGGGAATATACTGTTTTTTTTTATTATTATTATTTTGCCGTTGGAACATGTCTTCCTTGGCAAGCTCTACTTCTCATGACTTTTGTATATCAATAGTTTACTTATCAGCCCTATAAAGAGCCGGAATTACATTGACAACATTAGCCTCCATAGACTTAAATGGGCTTTATTGCAAAGTTTATAAACATTGAGCAAGATTTGCAGAACTGTTAGCGACTGAACCCAGGCATATTTGTTCATCCCTACTGCCCATCCAGTTCTGATTCAACCCTGCCACATAGTATAGCAAGGGGGATTACACCACTTTTCCTGTTACAGTTGGCTATAGATGACAAACGGAGGTGTCCGCTCTTCATTCACAGCCTGCTAAGCATCCAATTAGTTTAACTCTCTACTTATTCTTCTCTCTCCTTCTATCACCATGTTCCTTGTAAACACATTTGCATGCAGCAGACCTGATTCCCCTTCCTTTCCCAGTCTGCATGCTGCTGTATAGGGGATTACATGAGAACAAACTCAAGTGAAATTCAGGTGTTTAGACTAGTTGCATTAAATAAGTGTAATTGTTTATTAAGGTATAGAGAGATGCATTAATTTTTGTCTTTTATATCATTTTGGAATTCAGCTTTAAGATTTCTTAAGGACAAATCCTACCGGTAGAAAGCACCATGTGTATATAGCAAAATCACATTACATGTTTGGCCTTACACATGTACATTTCCCACTGTACATTTTCACATACTGTATATGTACATCTCTTTTTATTATATTTTCTGAAACATGTATTTTTTATGCTTCCTGTACTGGTTAGCAGGGCAGTTTTGTACTGTGTACTTGTTGATAGAATAATGGCCATCCCTCACCACAGAGCTTTGTATTTTTACTTTGTTTTAACTTATTATACACAACCATTTTTAGTGAACTGCAATAGGTGTTTTCTATATTAATTTCCCTTACATGCTTTACAATTTCCTGTATTTATCAGTTTTATTTTTACCAGCTAGTTCTTTTGAATAGGAACATGTGACTGTTGTGCAAATACTCACTGTGGTCATTTGCTGCCAATGGATAGTAAAAATAAACTGTTAATATGTCTCCGGATGATAAATGCTATTTTGTATTGCTTTGTATAAATGTGTTATAAAGTGTATCAATTATTTTAACTAAATAATGTTTGTGGATTTATTGCTGGTAGATCACAGAGATTATGAGTTTCAAATGAAACATTTTGTTACAGAGAATATTTATCTCTGTCTAGGGCAAATGCAGTGAACCAGATAAAATATGTTGGGCACCAGATGTTCTTGCCTAACATTAACCAATATGTGCATTCATAGTTCATCATTCCGTACCAGAACCCTAGTGCTTTGTGTGGTGCATACTGTACGAATAAGGATACTAGGCATGTAAATGTCATTTCATTTTGAATGGAAATTCGTATTACTATAGTTAAATGTCATTTCATTTTGAATGGAAATTCGTATTACTATAGTTAAATTCGGAAATTCAAATGCATCTATCTAACTTTACTAAACTTCAATACTATCACATAGTGATCTCACATGCACCCTATGCAATAACACTTTATTGATGGTAGGTGCTTTTTAAGGAGACATTAGGGGTCTATTAGAGCCATTATTTTACTTTTGCAGCCCACAAAGCTAATCGATCATAGATTATGCTTGATCAGCTACTTCACTGGGCTCTATAGCCAGGAGAAGACAGCTCAGAACCAGAAGTGATGAAATAATAATCGATTATCTGTTCATTTAGCGGTCAGGAGATCAGCAATTTAATGGTTACTAGTCTCTCTACCGGCTGACAACTGTGATGCCCATCCCAGACCCGCAGGAGGAGAGTCCGGAAAGCAAGGTAGATGGTGTGAGATTGGGGCACACACTTACCAGCCATTTGAAGCGATAGGGTTGCTCTACAGCTTCCTGAATTGCTTCCAGTGTAAAGTTGACAGATTACTTTACACATGTAAACAGACTCCCAGCCGTTTACAGGGGCCCACTGCTGCCAATGTATGACATATGTCAGTGGCAGTGAAAGGGATAAACACCTTATCAAGTTATGTTGTGCTTTTTGTGTCCTGCTGGGGAGATTTCTCTTTACTTACAACCCTGGAGATGCAACAGGAAATGAGCAGGCATTTCTGAAAAGAGCATGAAATTCCCGTCATAGTGACCAGTGTCCCCATTGGAGGTTTTCTCTCACCCCTTGCTCTGGTGGTCACTAGGTAAATAGAGGGTGAGTCCTCCCTATAGTGACACAGACAACAATTAATACTTGACAATTCATTCCCTACTTTTTATAAAACAAATAAATAAATAGAAAATGTGCTAGTTTGCGTTCACTTTAAGGTAATCTATTACATTACCTGGAACAAGCATAGAAATAGGGCATTTTTAGGAGACCAACACTCATATTTCTCATCTGATGAGTGTACTTTAATGGTTTTCATCAAAGGTTCACACAACTTTCTTCCAAGATTCACAGATTTTTCACATACAATTCAATTAGAAAAATGTGTGGATATTCTGTTAAAGTTAAGTGAATCTTGGATGAAAACATTGGTAAATGGACCCTTAACAATGAACACTAAGAAACAAGAGCTATTTACAGATTAAAGCCCATGATGGTTTTATTATTTAAGCTAAAGTTGCAGGGATTAGTCTACTTTGGCCAGTTTACCATTTATTGTGCAATATTAAGTAATTCTCCATGTGGAACAAAACCACATATTAAGTACTTGGTAATTTTATGGCTTGAAGTAAAATAACGAAGTGGTGTTTTTTATTTTACTTTACAGATGGTTTCCAAAAAACCCTTCTTTTTATTTTTATCATTTCATTTGGTATCATGTCTGCCACATACAGTATTACTGATGTTAGAATTCCAATATGATAGGTAAAATAACTTAAAGAATAGATGTACTTTCAAACAAAATCCAGTTAGTCTCCGTCTCCTCGGCTGTCTACGAGGTGCCTCCAGCACACACAGCCACCTGGCTCCCCTCTGACATCTGGGTGGAGTCCTCCTGACTCCTGAACACCTCTGTTCCTCTTCCCAGCTGGAGCCCAGAACACTAGCCAGCACCCTTTCCATAAGGGCTATGCACAGGTGTGCAATCATTAGGTTCTGGTCCCTACTAAACCATGGACCCAGGAATGGAGATTTCATCCCTCCCAATTCTCTTTGAAATCTCCCAGTTCCAGGATCCCATACCAAATCCAGGTTTTCTGGAGAGAACTGCAAAGCCAGTTCTTTCCTAGCAAAATAGTTTGTTTCCTGGAACTGCTCAGACTCTCTGGCTGAGAGTCCTGGGTTACTACAACCCCCAGTTCCACAGTATATATGCATGAGAGGTGAGGGCATTAGAATGTTAGCTCCTTGAGGGCAGGAACTTTCCCATTTCGAGCTTCGATTAAGACATTCTAGCTTCCATTAAGAGAGAAGTAGTGGGTTTCTATAAATGAATGTGTGCATATAATTTAATTTAATTTATGTATACTTTTCCAAATTTAAGACATACTGATTGTAGTCATTTACACAGTTATCAGAGTATATTTAATGCTATTGTACTCTCTGTCACCCAGCTTCCTAATCAAATTACTCAGAGGTATAGGGAATTATATAGGTATGAGTTAAACCTGTAACAGTACATAATACCTTATTTGATTTCACCCTTCTGTTCTTCTAGAAGACAATCTCACTTTAGAATCAATGTAATAAAAAAACAATAAGATAGGGCTGTTGTTTACCTAATTGAATTAGATATGCCAGTGAAGTACAAATTAAGATATCTGGACCATAGAGCAGAGAAATGTCAGCGTGCATGGCTTCTGCTTCATTGTGAAATGTTACATGAATTCTTGGGATCACATTTTTTTAATAAGTAACTTAAAGGGGTTCTAAACCCTCTGTTTTTTGTTGCCTATATCTACTGCTAGCAAGCAGTAGATATATGCAAAGGGTTAAAAAAAAACACGGTTTAAACTTACCCCGTTATCGCCGGGCACTCCCACCCGAGAATCCGAAACTGCTCGGGCGGCCGCAAAGCATCTCGGGGCGCGCAAATGCGCAGTTCGGATTTTCGGCCGGGAGACGGGCAGAGATGCAAGGTAAGTCTATGGACGCGTGCACCCGCGTGCAGACACCGCTGGATCGGAAGTGCCTGCAGGGACAGAGGAGTCAGCGATGGATCGGAGAGCCGCCGCACCACTGGAGGGACAGATGAAAACATCAGGAAAGGAAAATATAGTTAATTCGTTAGGATTTCTCGTCTCTGCTCTATGGTTCAGATATCTTAATTTGTACTTCACTGACAGATCTAATTCAATTAGGTAAACAACAGCCTCATCTTATTGTTATTTTATTGCATTGATTCTAAAGTGAGATTGTCTTCTAGAAGAACAGAAGGGTGAAATCAAATAAGGTATTATGTACTGTTACAGGTTTAACTCATACCTATATAATTCCCTATACCTCTGAGTAATTTGCTTAGGAAGTTGGGTGACAGAGTACAATAGCATCAGTTTCACTCT